TTCAAAAGGACTTACCTTGCTCGTCTAACAGAATGTTCTCCGGCTTGATGTCACGATGAATGATTCCCCTGCCATGCAGGTATTCAATGGCGAGCGAGATTTCGCACATATAGAGTTTTGATCTGGAAAGAATTTGTCATAATACGGCAACAAATCTCAGTCCTCCATTGACCCTCTACTACGACTCCTAAATTCATTACGGTACTTGTAGGCTTCCCAGTTTACCCTTATGATTCTCTTGACCTTGAAGGCGGATTTTACTATGAAAAGGCAGTCCATTCGAAAATTAGTTAGAGATGGTCAGTGATGCACGAAAGAAGAAAAACCGAGAAAAATGGCCTAGAACCCGAGAAATGGACCCTTCCTTGCCCGTTGATTTGCGCATTGATGCGACTCTCATCGGTGCTGCCCTCTTCAACGCTAACGCTCTCTCTCTGCTGAACGGCTAGAGACTCAGACACGAGACGAACGTGCCGGGCCAATAGCGCGCCAATTGGGCCGCGGGGAAGGCCATGCTAGATCGCCGGGGCATATCTTTCGCACGAATTGCGTGTCGGTCCGCACCCTCAGGAGGTCCGCCTGTCTCTCCACTAGGCGAGTTTCCCCTTCTTCGACCTCCGCCTTTATCGTGAAATCCTCCTTCAAGGTGATTTCAAAAGCACTTAAAAATTACAGCTTTAACACAAAATATCGAATATCTTGGCTGTCACATGAAAACCTGACTCGGTTGCCAAGCTAAGGCTGCGTTTATACTAGACGACGGGCGCACCTGACTAGGTCCTTACAGTACAAATATCTTGACGACGGTAACAGCCGTAATGGACAGCTTTTGAGCTATCCACTGGATGGCAGGAGTTAGGTCAAGCAGCACAGCAAACAAAATTGCTGGTGGTAGAAAGCTGATATCCTAGCTAACCCGTGACCGCTGTCAGCACTTGGGTTTGCCCGTTCCCGTCTCTGTGGCTTGCCTCAGCGACGTATCTGCGCGGTTTTTGTGACAAGTTCACATGTCGCGCGGTCGGACCTAATGTCACGCACCCCCCCCCCAGCATATGTACAATGTAGCTAGGGCCAAGTAATGATTGAGGTAGCGCCATTAAAATGGTTTCCCTTTTGCCCCTGTTCTAATCACGCTTCCAACACTCCCATGTCTTACCTGTCTTCAGCGAATTTTCCTTGCTGATTCAGATGAAACCTGAGATCGCCACCGAGTAGTAGATCAGTCACCATGTACATGTAATCGCGGTCCTGAAAAAGCGAGCCCATAGAGAGCTTCCAAACCCTCAACAAGTTAGGTCTAATATTCAGAATTGTGAGCTTTTAACTTGAAGGAAAATAGTAGCGGGGCCTCGTTCCCTGAATCACTCCACTGTTCCAAGAGTATTAAGTGGAATGATTCAAAGTACGATAGGCGCTATCGCAAGATAGGGTATTTTCGGAAAGTGTGGCCAATGCATGCTGAAATCGCTTGAAGTATCTGCTTTTGTCAAAGTAAGGGACTCAGCCTCAGGCGTGGAAAACAAGATTCGGGGGTACGTGAGCCTTTCATGTTTGCCAGAGTTACATTGCTTTCTCTGAGGCTTTAGCCTGAGCAATGCCTCCGTTATATTGCGATAGCGCCTCAAAAATATGTAATTAACATGATAGCAATTGTTGACTTAAACCACCACCCGAGTGGCAATTGCCGTATACAAGGAGGTTATAAATTTGGACCAGAAGATTGCTTCGCATTGGTGTAAACCAGAGGGACTAGATGTTGAGATTCTAACTCGGTAAGGTCGATATTAGCCATAGCTAACAAATCAATATAACTGAAGAATAAAAAACCTGCTATCACAAAAATTCCTGCATCAATAATTATCATGATTATCAAAAAAATCGTATTTACATGTTGCAAACAAGCAGTACCTGAAATGTGTACCACAGGTTGACCAAGAATGGATGAGAGCACTTACGAAGTAGGCTAAGCTCGCGAAGTACGTTACTAGCAACACCCTGCAATAGAAACGAGGTTCTGTAACGAGCAGTAGAGGTACTGTAATGTGATCAAAAAGAGATCCGATTCTAGGCAAAAGAAAAAGAAAAACGTGACAGAACTTGAACAGCTGAATCGATTATGATAAAGGAGTAATAAGGTATGAATCACAAGGAATTTGCGAACGATAAAAAGGAGGTAATTTAAGAGCGATTTGTATCACACTTTGCAGTCCGCGTGGGACAGCGTGATTCGGTCGTGAATCACGACAACCACGTTTGCGAAAGCGTATTTGAAAAATGCGGCAAATCTCACTTGAAAAGCCTGGTTTCTTTTTGTCAATGAAATAAGCGTCATTTTAGCTATTTCGTCCTTGTCAACTTTTAGAGACAAATTTTAAGAAAAGAAAAGGAAATGAAAAAGTGGATTTGATAAAAGTGATGAGACCAAACTGACGCCAATTTTGAAAAGAAAATTCTCCTTAATTTCATTTTCAACCATCCCCTACTCACCTTATCAATACACCGTCGTTTGCTCATGTATTTGAGAGCAAAATACTTTTTTGTCGAACGTTGTTGGACAATGCAAACCTGGAAATGAATGGCATTTATCATTGCTGAGTCCAATTCGTTCTCGTTTTTCTTCTGCTCTCCTTGGTCACTTCCGCATTCTCCCCTTCACCCAACACTGACACTTTTCGTTATCGTAGTTACTGATTGAATTAGTGACGCTTTCTACAAGCGCTGGAACAAACATCGAAGGCTCATACGGCAATTGGGATATCCTGAGAACAAGATAACCCACATTGAATATAATATTTCCCAAAAATGACCCATGCAGCGCCTTGAGAAATTGTTATGCCGTGACTGTCGAATATCCCCCTTCACTGAAATTCAGTTGGAAGCCAGAATTAAGTTCGAAGGAGTATTCAGAAGGGTTACCAGCAATGTTCACTCGTCAGACGACCAGAACGCCCTCTGGGATACTGTAGAGCTTTTCTACGGTATCAGGCATGGCCAGAATTAAGCATGACGGCTAATAAATGCTTCATACATGACCCCTTCCCCGAATCGCCTACCTACCCGTCTTACCAACTTTCCCCAGTTCTCCGTTGACGGTAGAGGGGTAGGAGGTGTGAACACGGAGACATGCATGTGCCAGAAACGGCTGAAACGTCCATACACCTTCGAAAAAGGTTCTATTGTAATAGGTATTAAATAACTTGGTGCTCACTCCTCGCCTCGAAAATGCACTGTTGAAAACTGGTCTCCAATAAGGCCCTCCTTAACGCTTCAAATAATTGAGTCTTCGACCCAGCCCTTGGCTTTTCCTACATAAGTTGAAGGTGTAAATAGAAGGAGCTGGATATTTTTCTATGTCCAATGCCAGACATGAATGGCATAATTGTTCCTCGAACTTTCGATTTTCTAGTGTCAAGAAAGAGGATGTGTTTTACGTATGCATAAGAACTTATGGGCCGAAAGCTCGGATTCAATTGCGAAAGGTCCTTCAAAACCCCTAAGCCGCTGAACGCAATGATCACGATGGTTAGAGGGCGGTGCGGTTTTGATGACGT